TAAGTACGTTTTCATTTAAAGGATTTGCCACTGATGATTCAAACGCGAGTTTTGGGCAGTGTAGAGTAGCGTTTGTAGTTTGTCATTTCTCCGAACACAAATACAGACATGGTTTTATGTTTACGCGGCGCGATGCAACGCAACGCGTAAAAAGACAGTATAAGTCATTATAATCAGTAATCATGTCCCCACTGGATGCAACAAATGCTTAGTTTATAATGGGTTTTCATGTTTTTTGTTTCGTCGCTCCGGCCAGGACACGGCATCAACAGTATGGTGAGGGGCGTAACATTTCCGTCACACGCTTGAGGTATTCGGCCAATCACAACGCATACATTTTTCCACACAGTATTTTGTATTTGTATTTAAATACATTTTTCCACACAGTATTTTGTATTTGTATTTAAATACATTTTTCCACACAGTATTTTGTATTTGTATTTAAATACATTTTTCCACACAGTATTTTGTATTTGTATTTAAATACATTTTTCCACACAGTATTTTGTATTTGTATTTAAATACATTTTTCCACACAGTATTTTGTATTTGTATTTAAATGCATTTTTCCTCACAGTATTTTGTATTTGTATTTTTAAATAAATTTTCATGTATTTGTGCCCATCTCTGATTGTAGCCTCCCTCATTAGTAGTTTACCATACTCTCCAGATGTGCCATTCACCAGTATGGAGAATCACATTACACTGACCACACAGCTGCTCCTTAGTCATTTGATACAACAAATGTCTTAATTTATCATGCAGTCATTTGGATTACTCGATTATACTTGGTGAGTTGCACCATCTAGCATCAGATGTTTCTCCATCATCCATGGCAAAGCAGTAGGTCATGGTGCATTCTTATGACAGTAAGACCGTATTCCTGAGTTGTTGAAATGTATGACTTTTTAAAAAAAATCTTGCTAACTTTCATGTACAAAATATGATATTATTGTACAATTACGATATAATATATAATGATTTATTTTTTGCAGCACCCTCATAAATTAAATAAATACATGAAGCAGAAACACACCAGATGTATATTGTTTATTCATCTTTGTGTAGAAGTTGTATTTTTGTAGTAAAGGGGACATTGCCAACTTACTACAAACAAAATTATTTGAATGGACCTGACATCCTAATTGCAATTTGTACAAACTGGTAAATACAAACTTCCCAGGTGGACTTGTAAGACATTGTCATGCCCCACGTTTACCGTATGCTCACGCTTTCATACAAACCCAATTAGCGCCATCTTGCATCGCAGATATCAGATAACTTTGGTCTGAATATTACTGTATTGTTGTTGCAGTGTTCTTTTCATATTTTTGGTCAGTAGTTGCATACTAAGCTGTAAAATCAATCAGTCAGGTGGTTATGGCAAAATAAACCCCTTAACACAGATATAGAGGTTTCATGCCTTTACAAGGCTGTCATATTCCCACTGTTTCTAATAGTAAGCATTAATGTAAAATTGTTGGGGTTGAGATATTTTATTGCCGGGTTATTTTAAATCCTGATTGATGTCTTCCCAGGGAGTTTGGGATTTTGGCCTTGCATGATGCAGATGGGTATCGTTTTTGTCATGGTGTAAATAATGCCTGCTGTTCCTGGGTGAACCACAGCACAAGTGTAGTGAACTTAAGCCTCCCTCGTTTCCGGTGTTCCTTTACAAAACGGAACACTTTCATCCCTAAATAAGCCTAGTGGGACCAACTATAGCTCTTTAAAAGCAGAGATGCTGTTTTCTTCCTTGCTTGACTTTGTGTGGTCTATAACTTTGAGTCCTGGACAGTAGGTGTGGTCCTTGTGCGTTTTGTAAAGACTTCTCCAGAAAGAAGAGAGTGAAATTACAGTGTTGTGCTCTAGTCCATTGCGATTGTGTTTTTGATTAACTTTCTGTGAACTTTCACTCAGAAATTGCTAGTAAATTTCACAAATAATAACTAAGAAACAGCAAGTAACACATTTAATTAAACATGAAATTTTGAAGTAGAAAGACTGAAATAGTTATTTTTTTGAAAAAACGTACTCCAGTAAACTTTGTTTTAAATACAACTTTGAAAAAGCATTTCTTTTTACAATGTAATGAATTGTTCACTAATTAGAAAAGTTTAACACATAAGGGAGCAACATCAGATGTAGGAATGTAGTTATCAAATTAAATGATACAAGTGAGCACTTCAAACTGTTAAATGTCATTCTTCTTCTTTGTCTTTGTCTTTTTATTTTTATTATTTAAGTCTCATTTAAGTAATTGTGTGTTCGCATCCTGTTTTTGCAGCTCTTTATGAAGCTCTGCTTTGGCTCTTAGTTTATGAGGAACATGTGCTGGGAATGAAGACGTTCGTCTTGTTTCCAGGTGTTTATGTGTCCCATGGTGTGACAGTGATGTGAATTCAAACATTGTGAAAGGGTTCAATAGAATTAGAAAAACAGGTGCAGGACAATGAATGCTCTCTCTGTAATATATGCAAGAATAAACTAAACAAAACAGTCTGTAAAGGTCTGAAAGGAGTGTTTACTGTTTTGTTTAAAACGCTGCCTTCCTCCTTAATTGTTTTTGAGCATGCTCCACTACTAATAATTTTCAAGTGAGGTTTCTTATTGTTGTCATGGTGTCGAGCATTTATAGTGTTTCTTTATTTTCCTGTAATTTACCTCAAACTTGTACTGTGCTTGTTTACGATGGCAAGTTAATTAGTCCTTCAAGGGAGGGAAAAAATCTTCCATACTTGGTGTGCTTCTGCTTTCCTGCGCCGCTAGATTTTTCAGACTGTGGAACGTACAATTTTGAGAATGTTAAATGTCTTTCCAGTTTACCTCATATCATTGTCATGAGTGACATTCCTTAGCTTGGGAAAATTGCTGTAAGAAAAGAATATAGACAAATGTGGCCTTCGAATCAGACTAATGCACTAATGATTGAACATTACAGAGGAAAATGTTTAAAACAGCAGTGCGTTTGGATCATGTGCTCTCCAAGCAGTACACTCACTGTCTGTGTCTGTCTGGCTCTCTTTCTGTATCTGCCTTCTTTTCTTGAGTCCTTCTCTTTTGATGTCCTGTCAAATGCACTCGAGGCTTTGTGTCATTCTGAGTAAGGGTCTGGTTCCTCACGGGCCATTGTGATCTCAGAACGGTAGCCAGAAGCCATTGACTTACATCCCATGATGAATGACCCAAGCTCTCCGGAGACACACCTGTGCAAAAACATTATCAGAGTGGAAGCACAATGGGAAGAGAGGTAAAAGAAGGGGACGAGGGAGAAGAGGAGGAATGGTGAGAACATCAGGCAAAGATCAAAAGAAGTGTTTGTAGTGCTCAGGGAACTTTAGGGAGACTCCTGACCTGCACTTTTCATCAGTTTAGAAAAACAAAATCAACATCTGCTGCGGTGAAAAAGAACGAGCTGTGTTAAATGTGCCGCAGGCGGTGAATTGAACATGGTCATTTTGCTGACTGGACTGTTTGCTCACATTAACTGTTGTCAGCAATGTACTGTGTTTATCAGCGTTCATGACTGAATGAGATTCAGAATGAAGGTGTAATGTCTGTCCCTGGTAGCATTAAAAGCAATTGCAAAATGTTGTTTCTGAACAGGTCTCTCATTGACTTCTTAGCCCCCCATCTGCCACTGTACAACCAAACAGGTAGTTTGACCCAACAGGGCTTTCACGATAACTTACATATGGCTAATAGTGCAATATATTAAGTATCACAATATCAAGGAGAAATTAATTCATACCCCGCTGTGGCGATTCATTGCCGATTTTGAACGTGATTTTGTGTAGCTTGTCAGTGAACTACGGCTCTGTATAGTAAATGCCGCTCCATCTGAAAGCACGTGCTGGAGATTTACTACTAATCACAGAACCGGCTTTACTGGTGAGATGTGCATGAAAATCACATTCGATTTTTTGCACAACCCTACCCCGCTGATTAATAACCATTTAAGCTAGCCTAAGCTGGTTCACTGGTCTTAGTTGCAGAGTTATTTCAGTATTATTTACATATGATACTACTGTGATTTAGGCTATTAACGTTTTGAACTTTTTTTCTTCAGTTTTCATTTTAATTTTAGTTTTAGTAATGTAAGTTTTAATAATTGTTTTTTTTTTTTGCTTTTATAATTTTTTATTAGTTTTAATAATATATTTATATAGCTTTAATACATTTTTATTTCAGTTGTAGTTTTAGTTATTTTAGTACTTAATCTTTTAATTTGTCAGTTAGTTGAAGTACTTCATTTCTAATTTACGTTTTTCATCTAATATTTTATTTTAGCTTTATTTCATTTAACATTAACAATGCTGCTTAGCTGGTCTCTCAGTCTGATCAGGCTGGTCTGCTGGCTGGTTTTAGAGTGTTTATAAGCCAATTTTAAGTGGCTGTGTCCAGCCCAGTTTGGCCAGGCTGAAAGGCAATCTCAAACCAGTTAAGACTAACAAACAATCTTAGGCTGGTTTAAGTGATTTTTTTTCCCAGCAGGGTAATCATCATACTTTTTGGAAAAATTTTAGTGACGATAATGTAGTGAAGTAAAATAGTGCTGTTGCTTGGGTACACTTGGCTTGCTACAACTAGTATACTGTGGTTCAATACCACCCAAAACTCTTACAGTACCATTCATTGAGAAAAAAGCTGCTCATACAAACAGAGCAATGTTTCGAAAGGTCAACAGAGCTGCAATATTTACACTCTTTGAGGAAGTCAGCCTATTAATGGCTTACTTACAGTTGTCTCTGTATGTAAAATTTGAGCGAAAGTATTTCAGCATTAAAATATATAATGCAATCTTCAAAGAGAAATCTAGTTATAGAGTCTCTAGTACTGTCTTTGGATATGCTAATACAGTTTCTGCCAGTTAGCCTGCTACACAAAATCTATGGGTGTGTATACAGTCTAACGAGAGTTTCTTGTTTGTGTTTGCTTTCACAGGGGAGCCGGGGACACTACCGGTACCACTGGCAAAGCCACAATGTCAAGCAGAGTGGTGTGGATGATATGGTGTTGCTCTCCAAGATCAATGAGGACGCCATTGTGGAAAACCTCAAGAAGAGATATATGGATGACTTTATTTTTGTATCCTTGTCCAACTGTAAATAAATCAGAAATCCTTAGTCTTACTAAGTTGGTAATATCTCAATCTGATATAAAACTGGCCCTAAATACAGATGTCTTCTATTTGAGTTTTTGCAGATGGATGTTTTTTCTGTGGCTCACTAGAAAACTGTTGTTGGACACTTGAGTATAGATTAGATCTTGATTGGGTTTATTTTGACCAAAGCTTCACTAAACACTAACATTTAACAATGACGAAAGTTGTTCTTGAACTCTATGGTACAACTTCCAAATCCATGTTGTCCTATTTTCCCACAGTAGCAGGGACTATGTTTGATCAAGGCCGTATGTGCGATTCTGAGAGCTTTGTAACAACAGATTGTTGAAGGCGGCCGAAGAATGCTGGTTTACCTTTCTTCAATATGAACCCAATGTACTTGGCAGGGTTCATGTCTAATCCGTCAAACATTACTGGCACTAAAAATGACCCTCTTGATAAAACGTACCATTTCTTGATGAAAACCTCACTAGCAGTGTATTTCTATTTTCTGCCATATTAGGTTTATGGAGTCTTAGCCGACTCTGGTCATTTTGGTCCAGAATCAGTCCTGTGATTGTGGTCAGAAAATAGAAACAACACCAAAGTGTTCCAGTCAGCAGCATATGGAACTGAGGTCATGGCGAGCCAGGCTCAATACTTCCTTTATTTGCAGTGAGCAACTTACGGCCAGGCGGCCAAATAGCTCAACTCACTCACTGCCGGCTATTGCCTTCTCACTGCATTCAGAGAAGAGCAACAGCGTCTTAATAAGGCTCTGACCCAATAACCAAAATCTTCACTGCTGCCACATATAACTCTTCACTGATGTCACCAGTCCATTATTAACACTTGGGCCATTTTTCATCTGCCAGTCCAGCCAAAGTTTTATGAATGTCCTCTGAGTATTAACAACCACAATGAGTAAAATGGTCCATGAGGTTTTCCTCTATTGTGAATGCTAAACCTCTAATAGTTTTCAGAAAGAGAGTTTTCCATCTAATTGATTCTCAGAGAAAGACACATTTTGTAAAGAAATAGTTAAAGGGACAGTTCACCCACAAATTAACGTTCTGTCATCGTTAAAGGGGTCATATGACGTTGCTAAAAAAGAACATTATTTAGTGTATTTGGTGTAATGAAATGCGTTTATGCGGTTTAAGTTTAAAAAAACATTATTTTCCACATACTGTACATTATTGTTTCTCCTCCTCTAGTACTGTCTTTGGATATGCTAATACAGTTTCTGCCAGTTAGCCTGCTACACAAAATCTATGGGTGTGTATACAGTCTAACGAGAGTTTCTTGTTTGTGTTTGCTTTCACAGGGGAGCCGGGGACACTACCGGTACCACTGGCAAAGCCACAATGTCAAGCAGAGTGGTGTGGATGATATGGTGTTGCTCTCCAAGATCAATGAGGACGCCATTGTGGAAAACCTCAAGAAGAGATATATGGATGACTTTATTTTTGTATCCTTGTCCAACTGTAAATAAATCAGAAATCCTTAGTCTTACTAAGTTGGTAATATCTCAATCTGATATAAAACTGGCCCTAAATACAGATGTCTTCTATTTGAGTTTTTGCAGATGGATGTTTTTTCTGTGGCTCACTAGAAAACTGTTGTTGGACACTTGAGTATAGATTAGATCTTGATTGGGTTTATTTTGACCAAAGCTTCACTAAACACTAACATTTAACAATGACGAAAGTTGTTCTTGAACTCTATGGTACAACTTCCAAATCCATGTTGTCCTATTTTCCCACAGTAGCAGGGACTATGTTTGATCAAGGCCGTATGTGCGATTCTGAGAGCTTTGTAACAACAGATTGTTGAAGGCGGCCGAAGAATGCTGGTTTACCTTTCTTCAATATGAACCCAATGTACTTGGCAGGGTTCATGTCTAATCCGTCAAACATTACTGGCACTAAAAATGACCCTCTTGATAAAACGTACCATTTCTTGATGAAAACCTCACTAGCAGTGTATTTCTATTTTCTGCCATATTAGGTTTATGGAGTCTTAGCCGACTCTGGTCATTTTGGTCCAGAATCAGTCCTGTGATTGTGGTCAGAAAATAGAAACAACACCAAAGTGTTCCAGTCAGCAGCGTATGGAACTGAGGTCACAGAGCGCCATGCTCAATACTTCCTTTATTTGCAGTGTGAGCAACTTACGGCAAGGCAGCCAAATAGCTCCAATCACTCACTGCCGACTGTTGCCTTCCCACTGCATTCAGAGGAGAGCAGCAGCATCTTAATAAGGCTCTGACCCAATAACCAAAATCTTCACTGCTGCCACATATAACTCTTCACTGATGTCACCAGTCCATTATTAACACTTGGGCCATTTTTCATCTGCCAGTCCAGCCAAAGTTTTATGAATGTCCTCTGAGTATTAACAACCACAATGAGTAAAATGGTCCATGAGGTTTTCCTCTATTGTGAATGCTAAACCTCTAATAGCTTTCAGAAAGAGAGTTTTCCATCTAATTGATTCTCAGAGAAAGACACATTTTGTAAAGAAATAGTTAAAGGGACAGTTCACCCACAAATTAACGTTCTGTCATCGTTAAAGGGGTCATATGACGTTGCTAAAAAAGAACATTATAAAGAATATCTCTTTGGGTTTGAGACTTTAGTCTTTGCAACTTTAGGGATCTTATCTATTCACGAACAGCTTGTAACACTCCAAAGAGAAAGGAAAACTTGAAATCGCATCATATGAATCACTTCAAAACTTTATGACAGAAAGTCATTCTTCTGCAGAATACAAAAGAAGATATTTTGATGAACATTTTCAACTGTTTTGTCCATACAAACAACTTTGGACCCCATTGACTTAACATTTTCAAAATATCGTCTCTCGTGTTTCACAGGAGAAATACCTTACAGATCATACAGGTTAAGAGTGACATGATGGAGAGTAAAAAGTTACAGAATTTTTTGGGGTGAACTTTACTTTACTTGCCACCTTTCAGCAGTCTTTTGAGCCTTGACCTTCACCTGCAGACATACATCGGTCCTGTACTCATCTCAGTGAACCCTTTCAAACAAATGCCTTACTTTGGGGAGAAAGAAATAGAGATGTACCAAGGCGCGGTAAGTATTTTTTCATGATTTTCTGAACAATACTGTTCACATTTAGTTCCATAGGTTTAGTTTTAGAGTATTATGTAACTTTGATTCACTACACACACTAATTAGGCTCATTTTTCTAAACTCAGTGATCTGTATCGAAACTGTCCTCATAAAGTTCTTTATGTAGTTCGATACCTTGAGGTTTCTGTAAACAGTAATTGCTCTAGTAATGATTTTAATAGAAGGAGGTTTTTAAAGTGTGTAGACGTGGTGCAAATGCTTTTAACAGCTGCATTCTTAGTCAGAAAAATAGCTGTGCAGACCTACCTTACCCATTAAAGCCACCTGGCTATACCGCCACAGAACAGCATGTACAGGTCTATCTTCTTAACCACGCTTGGCCAGAGCTCTAGGCTCCTCATCAAGCTTCTAGTTCCTGTCAATAAGATGTTTGAATGTGTTCTGACTTATATGCTACACAGTAGCTTATTTGTAAATGTGAGCTCATGCCATACTAAACATGAACTGTAATGTTAATTATGAAATGAATCTGCTTCCCTCCATTTCTCCCTCTCTCTCAGGCTCAGTATGAGAACCCTCCTCATATCTACGCTCTAGCCGATAACATGTATAGAAACATGATGATTGATCGTGAGAACCAGTGTGTCATTATCAGGTGAGAGAACTTTCTAACTTTAACTCTGAACATCAGACTTAAGTTCATTGTACTATAGGTGCTTTTAGTCACAAGAATCTTCATTCGTAATTATCATAAATGGTCTAGCTGTTTATTAGTATTCTTAATTTCATTTGTAACTGAAATATTTACATATCATTCTGATTAATTAATGAAATTGAGAAAAACCCTCAGATGAAGATAGTTTGTAATAAAACACATTATTCTGCCATGGCAGATGAGTAAATTGTTGTGAAAAATGGCTTTAAAAGTCAGTGTATTGGTTGTTTTATTTTTTATTTTATTTGTATTTATCTAGCCTTTTATCTTTTTATTCTATTCATTATATTTTAATTCTGGTATATGTACACATATTTGGTTGCGTATCATCCTGCTGTTTGTAAAATCAATCAATTTACGTACGGGTCAGGGGGCATGATTAAAGGGTTAGTTCATCGCAAAATGAAAATTAGGCTGCGTTTCACTCACCCCCGAAGCATCCTAGGTGTATATGACTTTCTTCTTTCAGACGAATCCAGTCGGAGTTATATTAAAAATTGTCTTTGATCTTTCAAGCTCTATCGTTGTACTCAGCGGGTGTTGCATTCCTTCGGTTCAAAAGACGTGAAATAAAAAGCACCCTTCCACAAAAAAAAGTGTCTCACACGGCTCCGGGGGGTGAACAAAGGCCTCCTGTAGCGAATCGATGCGTTTTTGTAAGAAAAATATCCATGTATATCGGCTTTTTATCGGGCATCAGCCACCCTGCTCTCTTAAGATATTGGCATCGGCTGTCAAAAAAATATATATTGGTCGACCACTAGTTCTGTAGTGCTTTTAATATTACTCTGTTTGTTTGAGCTGTCCAACATGTCAACTTCTGGCTCAAGCAGTTGTGTAAGTTTGGGGCTAGGATATGTCTAGGAATTAGCAAGGAATTGACTTAATTTGTATGAACTTTGCCAAACAGCTCTCTCATTTGGTGCTGCTAGTGGTGCAGTTTTTAAAAAAAGTTTGGGAAATTTTTGCCCACCTTAGTTTAAGAAAAATTTCATTTTTGGATGTAAATCAAGTGTCTGAATTCACCCTGCCACCCTGCAGCATTATTGCATATGGGTAAACATAGTGAAGGAGGGGAAGTTGCAGAAAGGGAGATTTTCACTGCTGAGTCTAAGCTCTTTCTTTCAGATCTCATATTCACCTGTGGGCTGGATGGTGACTGTAGTGCTTACTTTATAGTAGATGACTTCAGTTTCAGCATTTTTCTCACCCGTTTGTTTGTATAGGGAGAAAGCTGCTTCCAGTTCAGTCAGACCACATAAAGAGACTGGAAGTGGAATTGTGATGATCCAGAATAGTAAACAAAGCCTTCCATGAAATTGCTGCCCAGGCATCCTGTGGTCAAGCTGTATTTTGGTTGGGACGACAGACACAGGTTTTTCTAAAGACCATTATGCATGAAGGACAGATCATTTTCACATGACTGGTTACTGTTCAAAAGTGTTTTGTTTTTTTAAATGCCTCTTCTGCTCTTTTTTAAAATGCCTCTTCTGCTGCATTTTATTGATCAACACAGTAAAACCAGTAATATAGTGTAATATTATTACAATTTAAAATAACTTTTTCTATTTAAAATGCAATTTATTCTTGTGATGGCATAGCTGTATTTTCAGCAACCGTTACTCCAGTCCAGGGGGGTATGGTCGTCCCCCTCGGTCCGTTCACCTGCTCCAGTCTTCAGTGTCACATGATCCTTCAGAAACCATTCTAATATGCTGATTTGGTGCTGAACTAACATTTCTTATTATTATCAATGTTGAAAACAGTTGTGTTGCGTAATATTTTGTGTAAACCATGATACAATTTTTTTCAGAACTCTTTGATGAATAGAAAGTTTAAAAGACCATTAATTTGAAATAGGTTTTTTGTAACAATATCAAAGTCACTTTTGATCAATTTAATGTGTCCTTGCTGAAAAAACTTTTGAAAGGTATTGTATATTGCCTTAAGTGTAGGACTTTTTGGATCTTTCTTTTGGAATGTTGTGATTTTCATTGTCTGTAGTGGCTGTTGTTTAGTGGAAACAAGAAGGAAGGATGTGGCATTAAAATAGTCTCTCTTCCCCAACAGAGGAAGTCATTTACTGAATAAATTAGACTTTGCATGTGCTAAAGGACAGAATTAACGGATCATTCCACTGTAATTGGTAACACTTTGTCAACTTATTCGTATGGCAGCCCCTGTGGTCTGTACAGTATGATATACAAAAGCATTCACTCCCACCAGTGTGACCCAGTGCTGTATTTGCTGAGCTGATGTTTCTGCTGCTGAATAATGAGTCTCATGACTCGTCATTTACTGAATGAGACTGAATGACTGATGCATCTCACTTTCTTTTCTTTTTGTGCCCATTTTTGGTCAGCAAACATACACAGGAAGTTAAAAATTAGCATTACAGCATACAAATTACAAATCCCCCAAAGACATGTTTAAAAATAGCCATGGACAATTAATCTAAGTGGACTGAGTGTACAATGCAAGAGTGTGTTCCCAGAGCTTTCATCGCCTGTAGACGAGCAGGGACATTTCCTTTAAGGTGGAGAGCCTATAAACTTGCAAGACAAAGGAATGAGAACCACATGGCAGACTGAAGCTCTTGTAAGAGCTCTTGGAGCCAGCATGAGAAGTTTTTCTGCATGTATGGCGAGGCTCTTACGATAGGATGAAGTGAAATTAAAGGTGTGTAGTACTGCTGCCGTGTGATGTAATGGACTTCTTACCGCTTACCCAAGATTCCTTAAATGAGCCACAGCTGTGCCTTCTCAAAATGGCAATACTGACATCTGTAATAGAAGAAATACAGAAAAATAAACCAGCTTCTTCTGTCATCATTCGCCAAACCACATACATCTCAATGCGTATGGCCCTGCCAAAGGCAATGGGCAGGCGGAAGGATGCAAGTAGAGGGTAAAGCAACTGAAGGACAAGAAATGGAACTACACGGGATTAATTAATGACATTTTCATCTGGTTTAATTTGAGTATAAGCATTTAGCAAATTTTCCTGCCCTGTTGGCTGGATGTATTTGTGTACATGTACTGTACACTGCCATTCAAAATTGTTGTTTTTTACAACTTAATTATTTTATTCAGCAAGCATGCATTAAATTGATCAGAAGTGAAAATTAAACATTTATAATGTTACAAAAGATTTCTATTTTCAAAGAAATGCTGTTCTTTTGAACTTTCTATTCATCACGTAATCCTGAATTAAGGTTTCCACAAAAATATTAAGCAGCACAGTATTTTCAACATTGATAATCAGAAATGTTTCTGAATCTCCAAATAAGAAAATTTGACTGATTTCTGAAGGATCACTGAAGACCAGCTGCTGAAAATTCATCTTTGCCATCACAGGAATAAATTATATTTTAAAATATATTTGTAACATGTATGTTTTATTTAACTTTTTTTTTTTTTTTTTCATTTTCATTGTGGATTTTGTCTTTTGTGTTCGTGTTTCCCTGTGACCTAGTTTCCTAGTTATCTTGTCCACCTGGTGCGTGTTAATTGACTCATTATTTCCCTTGCATTTCTATGCATATAAACCCTGACTTGTACCTTTCCCTTGGTTCATCCTACTTTGCATTAGTGTATGGTTGTGCTATTCTCCTGTGTTTTTCATTAAAGTCTGTTCTAGTATCATCTTCATCATGCGCTTGCATTCACACAGCCATTCCATAACAGAATTAAAACACAAGACCGTAATTTCATATTGTAATAATTTCACAATATTGCTGTTTTTACTGTATTCTTGATTAAATGCAGCCTTGATGAGCATAAACATTCACTGTTCAGACAGCACAGATGTGTACATATGGTCCCATAAGAATATGACTGATTACTGTCAATATAAACAAACCTTTTGTTCTGTGTGAAATCCGATTCAAACTCAGGCCCTTCACATATGTCAATAAGCATGTGTTCCCATTACCAAGCAACACATTACAGACTATAGCTCACTATGGAGTACTATGGAAACATATTTACTTTTTTAACTAAATATGTTAAAAAAGCCATTATACTTGATCTGTATTAACTGAGGATAAGAATCTACTAAACCCTCTCTGACCCTCTTAAAAGCTTGCTGAGCAGATTTTAGTACTGTGCTATGGGGCACACAGGGGCCTGGTTTTGCTTGTTAACACCCTCCTGTTATTGTTTTTAAACTGCTGTAGGTGGGAAAATTAGAGTCTGGATTTTATGATCATAAAAATTTTGTTTAGTAAAACATTAAATGCTGTATTATTTTGTAACAAGCATTGCTGTCAGTGCTAAATCTAGAAGCCTAACACGCATAATAGCTTCATACTGTATTTTGTTTGTAAGACATATATTTCTTCAAATATTCAGTAACAACAGTAACATTGTGAAATATTAGTACAATTTAAAATAGCTGTTCATTAATTGATTTATTTATACAGGAAAGAGCTTATCATTGTCATCTTTTTTTATATTCTTCTCAGCGGTGAGAGCGGAGCAGGGAAGACGGTAGCGGCAAAGTACATCATGAGCTACATCTCCAAAGTTTCAGGTGGAGGTCCCAGAGTTCAGGTGGGTCGCACAGAATAAACAAACATGAAAGCTGTTGTACATGCAGAGACACTATCAGGATTAGCTAAGGTGCGATTAAATGCAAAAACAACATACGGTGTCTTCCTCTTCCAGATAACTTTACTGAGACTGTTTCTTTAAAGGGGTCATATGATGCTATTTCAATTTTTCCTTTCTCTTTGGTGTGTTACAAGCTCTTGGTGCATAAAGAAGATCTGTAAAGTTGCAAAGACTAAAGTCTTAAATCCAAAGAGATATTCTTTATAAAAGTTCATGTCGTGAAGGCGCTGTGTGTTTCATTGTGAAAGCGAAACTACTTTGTTTGGTCTTCCAAAAGAGGACGATATCCGCTTCGTCATGCCTAGAGCTGATCCGTGCTGGTTGCTGAGGAAATACATCAACTTCGTGCTGTGGATCACCAGATCGGCTTTCACCGTGGACGAAGCGGAGTCCAGCCCGGGGTCGTCACATGTGGTTGCCGCAGGCATCACAATATGGTAAGAGACATAACATTTCCGTCACACTCTTGAGGAATTGGCCAATCACAACGCACTGGATAGCTGTCCAATCAGAGCACACCTTGCTTTTTCAGACCGATGAGCTTTGTAAAAATCGACGCGTTT